TACAGAGAGGTTAAGACTTGCCCGATTTCCCACCACTAGGCAATGGCAGACTGAGCTCTGACGTTTGTGTTTTTTACCATTTCACGATATTGACTCATTTCAGAAGGGTGAGATTCGCAAACCCAGTGTATAAAAAAACAGAAATGCGTACATACTCTTTAGAAATTAAGGTGTTTTTGATGAGATTTGCCATGTTTTTAATGATTCTTTTTTTTTTAAATTTATTGTAGAGACGAGGTCTCGCCAATTTGCCCGGGTGGGTCTCGAACCCGCAGGCTCAGGCAATCCACTCGCCTCAGCCTCCCAAAGCATTGGGATTACAGGCTGAGCCACCGAGCCTGGCTGTTTTTAATGATTCTATACCCCTAGGCTTGTTGGCTCCCCTGAAGTCAAGTGAAAATGAGCAAGGAATTGTGTAGAGAAACAGAATCCGATAGTCCATATTCATTTATTTCGAGTCAGGATCTCGCTCCGTGCCCAGGCTGGAGTGCAGTGGCATGATCATGGCTCACCTCTGCCTTAATCTCCTGGGCTCAGGCGATCCTCCTGCCTCAGCCTCCCAAGTAACTGGGACTATAGGCCCTCGCCACCATGCCCAGCTGATTCTTTTTTTTTTTTTTTTTAAGAAACGAGATCTCGCTATGTTGCCTAGGCTGGTCTCGAACTCCTGGGCTCAAATGATCCTCCCACCTTGGCCTCCCAAAGTGCTAGGATTGCAGGCGTGAGCCTCTGCGCTTGGCCACCCTGACTATCTTTAACTAACTTAGGACAGACATTTGAACAGATCAGATTCGGCTGCCGCCAGGAGGTGTTCACCTGGTGACTCTGACTCAGCAGCCTGAGGGAGATAGGATGGTGAACTTCCTGGTGGCCATCCCCCAGTGCTCTGTAAAGCCCCTTCGTCTTGTCAGCTCTTCATTCTCCAGTTTCTGAAGCTCTCAGCTACCCCTACGTGCTTTGTTATTCTCTGAATAAAGCATCCCCTTATCTTACAGTAGTGGAATTACTCCCTTGCTCAGCCCCCTCCTTCCTTGGGAAATCCAGATGACCTGCATTCCCAGTACTGAGGAGAAACCCCTCTTCACAGTTGTAATGAGAACACATCTTCTTAGTCACCAAGCCATCACCTCATGGTAAACTCAAATGTCCTGACCTCCCCTCTCATGCCAGCTGGCCATTTTGAGAAAAACCCTGGGGGAAAGAGGAAGCTTTGACTCTCTTGGTCACCTAACTGGTGAGTACTCTTGGAGTTCCCAGAGGTTCAGGATGCCGTTGTGGTTGTTTCTAGGGTTCACTGTCATGAGCAAGAGGAGAAGTCATTTGAAGTGCTGGATATTCGATTGTGTGTTTAGCTGTTTATGTGAGCAATTTCCTGTCTGGAAATTGTCCAGGGGAGTGAAAATATTTCAGGTGGCCGGGCTCGGTGGCTCAGCCTGTAATCCCAGCACTTTGGGAGGCCGAGGCGAGTGGATTGCCTGAGCCTGAGGGTTCGAGACCCACCCGGGCAACTTGGCAAGACCTTGTGGCTATAATAAAAAATAGCCGGGCATGGTAGCACGCGCCTGTAGTTCTGACTACTTGGAAGGCTGAGGCAGAAGGATTGCCGGAGTCCAGCAGGTTGAGGCTGAGGTGGCCGGGAGCGTGCCACTGCATTCCAGTCTGGGTGACAGAGTGAGACTCTGACTCAAAAAAAAAGAAAATATTTCAGGTGCTGTATGCCCCATCAAGACAGCCCAGAGACAAGAGGAGACGCGTTTACATAGCATGTTGCTTTGATCTGCATGATGATAGGTAGATGCACCGGTCACTTCTTTTGAGCCTGGTTGATGGGTGCCTGTGGCATGGTCCCCGGCTGGTCACACTGCCTTCTGGATTATGTCCTTTCTTCTCCCTGTCCAAGGTCTTTGGCCATCGTCCAGGGAGAACTGCACGTTCTTTTTCAGAAACTCAAATCTTTCTTCCCTTGGGCCCCTGGTGCTCAGCGTCCTGAAGCCTCACACAGGGCCTGTTTCCTCTCCTTCTCCCTGGAGTTATAATCTGGCTTTCTGCCAGTCTTTCTGTCACTTCCACCTCACCAGCCACGTCCTCGGTGTTGTCCTGAAGTAGGTCAGGACTAGAAATTCCCCTGCTGACGTCTTCAGCCTGCTTGTTAACAAAGCAGTAAAGAGCTTGCCCAATGCTCAGCTGTCAACTCCCTGCCTCAGTTGAAAGGTCAGAGAAACACGTTTTCTCATCACTGGACACAGAACGACCTTTCGGCTTGGGTGTTGAGGGCTCAGAACCTTGGTGTCTCACACCCATGACCTCAGATGCTGCGACCATCCCACCGTGTATTTTGAGTCTTGGGGATGCACTGGGATTCTGTTCCCTTCTGTATCTTCCAGATCAATCCACCCCCCACCATGTCTTCCTTTCCCATGCCTCTTGGGTTTGTTCTTTTTTCTCCTTTTCTGTTTTTCACCACCTTAGACAACACTCCTCTTGTCATGCTCTGAAATCCCCAATCTGAACCTCTTTTTTTTTTTTGAGTTGAAGTGTCTGTTGCCCAGGCTGGAGGGCAGTGGCATGATCACAGCTCACCACAGCCTCAATCTTCTGGGCTCAGGTGATCCTCCCGCCTCAGCCTCCCGCATAGCTGGGACTACAGACATTCCCCACCACGCCCAGCTAATTTTTAAAAATTTTTCCTGGAGACGAGGTCTCGCCATGTGGCTCAGGCTGGTCTCGAACTCTTGGGCTCAGGCAGTCCTCCCACGTCAGCCTCCCAGAGTGCTGGGATGACAGGCATGAGCCACCACGTTCGGCTTGAACTTCACCCATGGCAGTCCCAGGACCTCCCACACCCTACCATGATTCTGTGAGAACAGAAACCCAGTTTTTCAACAGTAGACCCACAAGCAGGGTTTGCCATCGATGGCTGAATGAATGAATGAATGGATTTCTGAATCGCTACAACAACGGCCTCCTGCCTCTCTCCAGGGCATGGTCTCAGGCGTCCACAGCTCCTACAAACTGGTTGCTCCCTTATGTCTGAATTACTAGGTGTGTTGCTCAAGGCGCCCATCCGTGGACCCCTTAAACCCATCCTTCTTCGTCTCCCTTCTTCATCCCCCCTCTTTTCTCCTGTACTCACACGCCTCTGCTCCCATCTGGAGGCCTGGACTTTCCTGCCCACTGTGGCCCTGTGAATTCTCGGCCCCCGTCGTGAGAGCCTAGTCTCCTTCTCAGACGTCTTTTCTTTTGCCCTGTTACCAAGACCGTCTCCTCCGTGAGGGTCAACTCAAGCCCTCCTCCTTCTCTGAAGCTCCTGGGCCTTTCTCTTCCAGACCTCAGCTTTCTCTGGTCATTGGCTGGTCTTCCACTTAATGTGTTAACAATCCCACTGGTGAAGGTCTTGCCCACGCACCTGGATGATGGTATCTTCGAGGCCAGGAGATATACTTTTCAGGTCTTTCGCATCCTACATAACTCTTAGTCTAATCTGGCTTCTACTCTGGTTGCTCAATCATGCCTCACCACAGCCTTGACTTCTGTGCTTACGTGATCCTTTTGCCTCAGCCTCCCGAGCAACTGGGACTACAGGCGTGCACCACCACACTTGGCTAATTTTTTGATTTTTTGTAGCGATGAGGGCTTGCTGTGTTGCCCAGGCTGACCTTGAACTCCCGGGCTCAAGAGATCCTCCCGCCTCCGTCTCCCAAATTGCTGGGATCACAGACGTGAGCCACGGCACCTGGCCCTTATTGTTTTAAGAGACTTTTTTTAAAACTTTTTCTCCAATGTTGGTAACTGTGAGTGCATGAAGGTATATTTGACAGCTTTTGCTTCCCTACCCCTCCTATCCTATCTAACATCTCACTACAATATCCAGCAATCCTTGGGCCTGGTGGGCTTGGTGGATACTCCCTAATATCAAGCCCTTCATGTCAAGATATTGAGGGACCAATGAGTGCCCCAGGCAGGTACGGAAGCCTTTTGAGACCCCTCCTAGGTTTCTGTCCAAACTCAGTGGACTTGAATCCTCATTGCCGTTCATGGATATGTAAGTCCAAGGTTGGTCATAGGTCCTGCCTTGAACCAGGTCAGCAAGCCATCATTCCAGGAAGCAGGGCAGCCTCAGGCTTCTCTACCTGAAAGGGTTGTTCCATGTCCGGGGAGCCAGGCTTTTCAGAATGTATGGACAAGGAGGGACAGGTACTTCCTGGTCTCTCTGAGGGTCCCCAGCCAGCCCCAACCCTTAATGTGCTTACAAAGCTCATGGAGATGACTTTTTTAAACAGAGGCCAAGCCTCACTATGTCACACAGGCCAGAGTGCAGTGGCTATTCACAGGCACAATCACAGGGCACTGCAACCTCAAACTCCTGGATTCGAGTGATCCTCCCCTGCCTTGCTGGGACTACAGGTGCGTGCCACTGCACCCAGCTCTGGAGATCACATTTTTTTTTAATTGAAGGCTCACTCTGTTGCCCAGGCTGGAGTGCAGTCCCACGATCACGGCTACTGCAGCCTCAACCTGCTGGGCTCAAGCGATCCTTCCACTTCAGCCTTCCAAGTAGCTCGGATCACAGGGGCATGCCACCACGCCTGGCTAATTTTTTTATTTGTTGTAGAGACGAGATCTCACCAAGTTGCCCATTCTGGTCTCAAACCCCTAGACTCAGGCAGTCCTCTCGCCTCCACCTCCCAAAGTGCTGGGATTACAGGTGTGAGCCACCATGCCTGGCTGGAGATCATCTTAAAATGCAGATTCTGAGTCAGTGGGTTTGAGATGGGACCTGAAATGGTTCATTTCTAACAAGCTCCCAGATGATACCGATGCTGGTGCTGTTGCTGTCTGTCTGTGGACCATACTCTGAGCAGGAAGGGTCTAGAACACAGACACAAACATTAGCAAGTGGGGAGAGTCACAGGGAAGACTCCGCCCACGCACACTGGCATTCACCGTAGCATCTCCTGGAAGAATCAGGCTAAGTCTGTCTTTCATTCTCTTTCAAACAGCATATCCAAGTTTTGCAACCATAAGCACCAGCCAGGAGAATATATTTTCCATGCAGAAAACGATGATGCTGAATTCACCAAAATCTTCACGCTGAATATAAGAAGTAAGTTAAATGGCCAAGAATTTAATTGTTATCTTATAACTACTTAATAATTTAAGGAGTCTTAACCAGTCTTCACCAGGAAGAGGTAAGTAATGGGTTTGAAGGAATGCTACAAAATTGTGTTTGTGTATATGCTGAAATGTTTTGAAATTTTATTCTTGTACCTGACTGAGGTTTTGGTCATGTATCTCTTTCTGTGTTTATCCTCAGAAGCTAAAAGACTTATTCCATATAGTCTCTGACTATGCTGTAATGTGACTTTATTGATTTTAGTACTTTTTGTGTGTGTGTGAGAGGGAGTCTCAATCTGTCGCCCAGGCTGGAGTGCAGTGGCATGATCACAACTTACGGCAGCCTCAACTTCTTGGGCTCAGGTGATCCTTCTATCTCAGACTCCCAAGTATCTGGGACTACAGGCACACCACCATGACCAGCTACTTTTTTTTTTAAATGTATTTTATTGTAGAGATGAGGTCTTGCTATGTTGCCCAGGCTGGTTTCGAACTGCTGGGCTCAAGCAATCCTCCTGCCTGGGCCTCCCAAAGTGCTAGGATGACAGGTGTGAGTCACCTGTCTGGCTCACTTCAGTACTTTGGAAGGTTATATTAAAGAAAGGCTGAAATTCATATTACCTGCCATTTATTTGCTTCAATAATTTTCATTTCTTTGGTTTATAAAAAGATGAGCATCCAACATTATGTTGAACTCTTTGCTGATACTGCTCCTTAAACTAAGAATCGTTTGGGGGTATGTGGGTGGTTAGAGGTCTACACCTCAGCCCTTCCCAGGGGGACCCTTGGTGGAAGGTGGTATACAGTCGAGAGGTGTGAGGGCTGCCCAGCCAGGTGACAAGCGAGAGCAGCCGAGGGTGTTGAGGTATCCCAAGTGATACGGCCTCCCAGAAGCACAGATTGCCCTGGAATCGACAGGCAGGCTGTGCTGAAGCCAACTTGGAGGCCCTTTCTGGAAAGTGCCACCCTCCAGGAGCTCATCTTCTGTGTTCTTCCCGGCAGGGAAGCCTCAAGTGCTCGCCGAGGCATCCACAAGCCAGGCGTCGTGTTCCTCGGATGGATACCCCTTGCCATCTTGGACTTGGAAGAAGTGCTCTGACAAGTCTCCCAAGTAATAAGGACATTGACGTCACTTGTCACAGAGGAACATAAAACTGTCTCTCTTTCATGAATACAGTTTAAAAAGAAATGATGACATAGTTACAATCTCACCTTCTGAATCAACCATAATTCTCAATGCGCCTAGATTGTTTCTAATTGCTTTTGTTTGTAGTTTTTTGTTGTTGTTGTTGTTTTTGAGTTGTTGGAGTCTCACTCCATCACCCAGGCTGGAGTGCAGTGGCACACTCATGGCTACCGCACCCTCGACCTGCTGGGCTCAGGTGATCCTTCCTCCTCAGCCTTCCAAGTAGTTGGAACTACAGGCATGCGCTACCATGCCCGGCTAATTTTTTGATTTATTGTAGAGATGAGGTCTTGCCAGGTTGCCCAGGCGGGTCTCAAACCTGTAGACTCAGGCAGTTCTCTCACCTCGGCCTCCCAAAATGCTGGGATTACAGGATTGAGCCACCACGCCCAGCCTCGTTGTGTTTTTGAGTCAGGATCTCTCTCAGTCACCCAGGCTGGAGGGCGGTGGCACAATCATGGCTCACCGCAGCCTCGACCCGCTGGGCTCAGGCGATCCTTTTACCTCAACCTCCCAAGTAGCTGGGACAACAGGTGTGTGCCACTACGCCTGACTAATTTTTATATTTTTTGTAATGACGAGGTCTCGCTATGTGGCCCAGGCTGGTCTTGAATTCTTGGGCTCAAGCGATCCGATCCTCTCGCCTCTGCCTCCCAAAGTGCTGGGATGGCAGGCGTGAGCCACCACGCCCTGCCTGTTTCTTATAACTTTTTTTTTTTTTTTTTAAAGAAAGCAGGATTTATTGAAAGGACAGAAAAGCTCCCACAGTGGGAGGGGACCCGAAGGGGTTGCCCCTCTGATAACTTTTAATAGATGAGTCTCTTTTAGAACTCGCTCCAGAAACCCTGAGTTCTGATCTGATGACAGCCCCACCGGTCTAACCTCTCTGTCTGCCCTTTCTTTTCAGCTGCACAGAAGAAATCACAGAAGGAGTCTGGAATAAAAAGACGAATAGAAAGGTGTTTGGACAGTGGGTATCCAGCAGCACTCTGAACATGAGTGAGGCTGTCAGAGGGTTCCTGGTCAAGTGTTGTGCGTACAACTCCGTTGGCACGTCTTGTGAGACGATCCTTTTAAACTCTCCAGGTACACAACTGTTGCTATTGTAACATTCCACCACCAGGAAATCCCCACTGGAAGCTTGTCCCTGTCACTGACTTTTGTCTGGGGGTTTTACGAGAGAGGACAGGTTCAGTGTGTGAGGAAAGAGTCTTTTGAGTCAGGCAGGAATCCCCTCTGGTGTAGACTGTCTTGAGGCTGAGGCAGAGTTCTTCATACTCTGGGGTGACTCACAAGTCACAGTGAGATGGAGAACCACACACTCCCGTGTCAAGAGTCTCAACTAAACATCCCCACTTTCATGTAATACCTTTGTAGAAGGGACATAGGCTTCTTTTTTCTCCGACTTGTACATTCCGTGGATTTCAACAGATGTTATTCTTAGAACCCCAGTAAATAGTTTTTTAAAATGAGTTCAAGGCTAGGCATGGTGGCTCACACCTATAATTCCAGCACTTTGGGAGGCCGAGGAGAGAGGATGGCTTGAGGTCAGGAGTTTGAGACCAGCCTGGGCAACATAGCGGGACTGCACCTTGACAAAAAATTTTTAAAAATTATTTGGACATGGTGGCACACGCCTGTAGTGCCAGCTAATGGGAGGCTTAGGCAGAAGGATCACCTGAGCCCAGGAAGTTGAGGCTGTGATGAGCCATGAGCATGCTACTGCATTCCAGCCTGGGCGACAGAGTGAGACCTTGACTCAAAAAAAAAAAAAAAAGAGTTCAGACTCATCTAGAATTTTCTGGCAAGGAAACGGGTCCATGATGGGACTTGCGCCTGATTTTTCTGTGGGGTGCTGAGTGTCACAATTACTGGAGCTGGACGTAAGGGGTGCTTATGGGCGGCTACTGTCTAGAGGACTCCACAGACGTTCTGTTTCGTGGCTGAGTGACACTCTTCTTGCAGGTCCCGTCCCTTTCATCCAAGACAGCATCTCATTCTATGCGACAATTGGGCTCTGTCTTCTCTTCATTGTCGTTCTGACCATGCTCATTTGCCACAAGTATAAAAAGGTAAACGCAAAGGTAAAAGTCCACGGTTGACCATCTCCTGTGTCCGCAGAGCTGCCTATCCCTAACCGACTCGTCATTTTGTCCCCAAAGCAATTGAGGTACGAGAGCCAGCTGCAGATGGTGCAGGTGACGGGCTCGCTGGACAACGAGTACTTCTATGTTGACTTCAGAGAGTACGAATATGATCTCAAGTGGGAGTTTCCAAGGGAAAACTTAGAGTTTGGTAAGAATGGAACGTTCCAGATGTTTCTGTTGCATCTCCGTTCTGCTGGGGAAAAAATAAACATCTTTCAAAGGCATTTCCTCACCGTTTATCTTTGCAGGGAAGGTGCTGGGATCGGGTGCCTTTGGAAAAGTGATGAATGCCACTGCTTATGGGATTAGTAAAACGGGAGTGTCCATCCAGGTTGCAGTCAAGATGCTGAAAGGTGTAGTATGCTGGGATGGTAGAAATGACGATGAACACAGATGGAGGGCATGGGTCCCACGGGCTCCCTGCCCTGTTTCCCATCCTTTTTGGGGTGGGTCAGGGTCTCACTCTGTCGCCCAGGCTAGAGTGCAGTAAGCACGCTCATGGCCACCCCAGCATTGACCTGCTGGGCTCAGGCAATCCTTCCTCCTCGGCCTTCCAAGTAGCTGGAACTACAGGCATGCGCCGCCACGCCCAGCTATTTTTTGATTTATTGTAGAGATGAGGTCTCGCCAAGTTGCCCAGGCGGGTCTCAAACCCGCGGGCTCAGGCCATCCTCTCGCCTTGGCCTCCCAAAGCGGTGGGATTACAGGCCTGAGCCACCGCATCCCCCTCCCATTCTTTTGACAGGTCCTGTTTGCCAGCTCCAAGCCTACAAAGGGATTAGGCCGGCATTCGTGTCAACCAAGCCATGAATCTGAAACATAAGCCATGAATACAAGACTCCACCTCTTCTTCTTCTCTCTTTATTGAGTTTTTATTGGCATCAATATCTGGGGATAGGCTGGGCATGGTGCCTCACTTTGGGAGGCCGAGGCGAGAGGATTGCCTGAGCCCAGGGATTTGTCATCAGCCTGGGCAACTTGTCGAGACCTTGTCTCTACAATAAACAAAAATAATTATCCGGGCGTGGTGGTGCACACCTGTAGTCCAAGCTACTCAGGAGACTGAGGCAGGAGGATTGCTTGAGCCCTGCAGGTCAAGGCTGCGAGAGCCGTGATCATGCGACTGCACTCCAGCCTGGGTGACAGAATAAGACTCTGACTCAGTTGCCGCAGTCGGAAGTGGGTTCTTCTGTTGTGAAGTAGACTTTGGGAGAGGGAGCCATTGGGGCCCTCGGGACTCACGCCCCGTACGCTCCTCCACCCATCTGACCTGGCATCCGGCCTCCACCCTGTCCCTCACCACCACTCACTCAGCAAGAGCACCTCACCTGGCTCTCTTGCTGAGGTCAACTGCGACCTCCAGCCAAGGCCAATGGCATTTTTCAGTCCTCATGTCGCTTGGTTTTTCCGCATCGGCTGACTCTCCTCTCCATCTGGACACGCCTTCTTCCTCTGGGCTCCATGCTGTCTTGTTTTTCTGTCTTCCTGCCGCCCCTCTGACTGCTTGCTAGTCCTTGGTGGGTCCACCCTCCTCCATCTGGCCTTTGCTTTTTGTTTTGTTTTGTTTTTTTGTGAGTCGGAGTCTCACTCTGTCACCCAGGCTGGAGTGCAGTGATACAATCATGGCCACTGCTGCCTTGACCTGCTGGGCTCAGGCAATCCTTCCGCCCTTGCCTTCCAAGTAACTGGGACTATAGGTGTGCATCACCACACTCAGCTAATTTTTTTCATTTATTATAGAGACAAGGTCTTGCCATGCTGCCTGGGCTAGTCTTGAACCCTTGGGCTCAGACAATCCTCTCGCCTCCTCCTTCCAAAGTGCGGGGATGACAGGCATGAGCCACCACACCCGGCTCCATTCAACCTTTGAAGAGGCATTCCTGCGGGCTTGCTCTTGGGCCTCCTTGCGTTTTGCACTATATACTTCCTACAGGCTGTCTCTGCCACCCCATGGCTTCCTTCTGTACCTGTGGGCATTGGGAGTGCAGCTCCCGTCAGCGCTTCAGACTCATACATCCAAGTGCTTGAATGTCTCAGAAGTTCCTTTATTTTTATTTTGTTGAATCAAGGTCTCACTCTGTTGCTCTGTCTGGAGTGCAGTGGCACAATCATAGCTCACTGCAGCCTCGACCTCCCAGAGAGCCTTCCACCTCAGCCTCCTGAGCAGCTGGGAGTACAGGCATGCACCACCACACCTGGCTAATTCGTAAAAAATTTCTTTTGTAGGGATGAGGTCTTGCGCTATTGCCAAGGCTGGTCTTGAACTCCTGGGCTCAAGCAATCCTTCCAACTCGGCCTCCCAAAGTGCTGGAATTACAGGCTCGAGCCATCACGCCCAACCTCAAAAATCCCTTTCATTCAGCTTATCCAAACTGAGTTCCCCAATCCTAGCCCTCCATCAACACCCTTCTCTCAATGATTGGCAGAGAGTGCCAGTGAGGAACCACCTTCCACACAGGCGGGCACACCAGAAACCTGTCGTCCCCCTGGGCACCGCCCTCTTGCTGACATCCGCAAGCTGTTCCTATCAGGCTCCCTGCGTGCCGACTCCTGAATGCACCCTCTTCTCCCATCTCCATGACAACCGCCCCAGGCTAAGCCTATCTCTCTGGGATGGCGGCGGTGGCCTCGGATGCAGGCCCCTCCATCCACTCTTCCTTCCCTTTGGATGCTGTACGCCGAAGGCCAAGGGACAGTTTTGAAAGGCACAGTAGACCCAATGGTCATCTTGCTTCACGCTTCCTCATCCCCTGCACGCTCTGGCTCTGCTCACCTCCTCCCAGCACGCTGGCCCTCTTTCCGTTCTCCCAGCCCCAATTCCCGTCCACCACAGGGCCTTTGCACAAGCAACTCCTTCTGCTTCCTCTTTGAGTTAGCGATCTCCCACTTCCGCTCAGATCTCGGCGTAAACACCGCTTCCTCAGGGAAGACTTCTCTCACACCACAGACACCATGGAGTCCCCTGCGATAGGTCACCTCTGCTTTCTCCCCATGGACTTTAGCACCACAGTAATTACATGTTTGTTTAATGCAAAGCAAGACATTAGTCCAATTAATCTTTTTTGGTTTGTTTTTGAGTTGGGGTCTCACGCTGTTGCCCAGGCTGGAGTGCCGGTCATTCCAGCACTTTGGGAGGCCAAAGCGAAAGGATCAGTCTGGGCAACATAGCGAGACTCCCACCTCCAGCTCTACAAAAAAATCAATAACTTAGCTGGGCATGGTGGTGCAATCCCAGACACACGGGAGGCTGAGTCGGGAGAATGGCCTGAGCCTAGAAAGTCAAGGCTGCAGTGAGCTGTGATCACGCCACTGCACTTCAGCCTGGACGACAGAGTGATGCTCCGACTCAAAAAATAAAAGAAGACAAAATTCCCATTTTACTTGTATTTTACATTTCTATGCTTCTTCGTTGACAGAGAAAGCAGACAGTTCTGAGAGAGAGGCGCTCATGTCAGAGCTCAAAATGATGTCTCACCTTGGAAACCATGAGAATATTGTGAACCTGCTGGGGGCGTGCACGCTGTCAGGTAATCAGCTTCCACTGAAAACACCTGATCAAAGACACGTTGGCTTGAAGATTTGAATATTTGTCCTCATTTTTTTCCCCTCTTTTCTCAGTCACAGTGTGGGCTATGAAACCCAAGTGCAATTAGACATTGCGCTCTCTGTAATCAGATGGGGCAAACTAGGGAAGGCCTCCCTTTTACCTGCTATATTGGGATATGTTGCGTAATTCTAACCTGCTTAAACAACAGTAATACTCTGAGTACCTGGGTGGCATCTGTACTTCCCCCACTGTGAGGCTGGCATCAATGCAGTGATGAGGCTTGGACCCTACGCCTCATAACAAAGCTGAAATTGTGTTCTTTGCAGTGATGAGGCTTGGACCCTATGCCAATTGGTCTCACTTCTGCCTAGAAATACCCAAATGATGGCTCAAGGATCATTCTTTTTAAAATTTATTTATTTATTTATTTATTATTTATTTTTTTGAGTTGGAGTCTCACTCTGTTGCCCAGATGGGAGTGCAGTGGCCGCTCCCGGCTACCGCAGCCTCGACCTGCTGGGCTCCGGCGATCCTTCCGCCTCAGCCTTCCAAGTAGCTGGAACTACAGGTGCGCGCTACCATGCCCGGCTGATTTTTTGATTTATTGTAGAGATGAGGTCTCGCCAAGTTGCCCAGGTGGGTCTCGAACCCGCGGGCCCAGGCAATCCACTCACCTCAGCCTCCCAAGGTGCGGGATTACAGGCTGAGCCACTGAGCCCGGCTCAAGGGTCATTCTTTCTGGGACAGCCGACCTGGGGCTAGCAGTAAAAGAAAAGGAAAATGAATCTAAGACAGGATTGGGATCTCTCCCTCTGCAGACAACAAATTAGCACGTGGTTACCCAATGTTCGCAGCGCAGCTGGCATTATTACTCCCAGTTGCACACTGGAGAGTCTAGAAGGCCAAGCGGTATCGGGGGTGCCATTTGTACCACCAGGACCAAAGGGAAAGACAAGAGGTTGCCACTTTCCAAAAGTTTGCACAGAAAGATGAAACGGACTGTCATGTGTAAGACAGAGGCTCAGTATGATAAAAGTTGGACTCTCAGAGTCAGGCGAGCCCTCATGGAGGATATTGTCTGCTACATAAACTTCTGGGAAAAAAAATAAAAACCAGTTTGATGCTTATATACGTATAATGACAATTGTAACTGTTTCAGGACCCATTTACTTGATTTTTGAATACTGTTGCTATGGCGATCTTCTCAACTACCTAAGAAGTAAAAGAGAAAAGTTTCACAGGACGTGGACAGACATTTTCAAGGAACACAATTTCAGCTTTTACCCCACTTTCCAGTCACACCCGAATTCCAGGTAAGACATGGGGTCAGGGTTTCATAATTAGATGCCGTGGCATGACTGCTGGTCAAGCATCCTTCATTGCCCAGTTTCTAAAGGCATTGTGTGGGACGTGGGGTCCTGAGACCGAGAAAATTCACCAGTCTGTGCTGGAGTTTCTCGTTAATTTGAAACAATGACACCTGATCCTTTCCTTCAGCATAGGTGTGTAAGTGAGCTAAGCTCTCTCCACCCACGCTTGGGTCGCACCCTGAACACCTGTCTGGACTTGGGAAAGGTGCACTGTTCAATTTTTCAAGACTCACGGGCATTGGTAGAAAAGAATTTTCCCAAAGTCCCTAACATATTCTTAGAGACTAGCCTGAGTCCTGGGACTGTTGCTCAAAGGAGCTCTAAATCCATCCACTGGATGGATGGATTGGCATGCGATGGGGACACAGTAAAGCAGTGGCCACTCCTCTCTTTGTTGTGCGTTGTGTATTCTGCCATCCATGGGGACCCAGAGTGACACCCGGTCCTGTGGGATTTCTTGTGTTAGCATGCGTTCAGGATGGCTGTAGGAGTTTGGCGGGACTCGTCCTCGTCCTTAAAATGTCTTTCTGGTTCCTGGAGCGTGATTGCTTAATGGCGTCTTTCTCGGCAGAATCCACAGTCGTCTCTATGGAAGGGTCCCTCCATCCCCAGTGCATCCTATTTCCCTGCCTCTGTGGAAGCCCTGCCTTATTCCGAAGGCATGTTTGCTTGTCAGAGATTTTTTTTCTCTGCCGGGGGGCCTTTTGGGGATTGCATTTGAGATTCCCAGCCTTGCTTTCCTAGAACCTCAGTTTCACGGCAGGTCTTTGGCTTTCAAGGTCTGAGACAGAGACCAGTATCTCAGAGCCATCAGGTCCCATGTACATCCCTAGCATGTCTCTGCAGAGTTGCCCTTCATGGTTCATTTCCATCACACGAACCCTGCCTTTGACACTCTGTTCTCAGTTCCCAGTGAGAACTAAGAGAACCCTGGACCTCTGTTATGTCACCCATATTCTAGAACAGAGCGTCTATCCTAGTGAGCCAGATGTGTGTGACCAGAACTTCATGGTCAGTGATCAACTCCTTTGATTCATACTGGCCACTGGGACAGTAAATACCCTCAGGCTATTCTTTTGGGACTATTTGTGTCCTGAAAACATTAAGCCATTCTCCAAAGACATGTACATTGTAAATTAGATAAACTCGTAAATTGAAATAAACTGGATCCCACTCTATTTATAATTTCTACAGGACTCCTCAGTGAGGAGTGTTATATACCTTAAAAAAAGATTTTTATGGTGACTATTCATTTCACAGGAAAAAGAAACGAGCTTTACCCAGGTGTGGGTTCGAATTCTACTCTTTATAACCTTGTGACAGTAGCAGATAATACTTGTCTCACTGATTCTGATTTCTCTTTTATAAAATGTGACTTCAAAACCCAGCTCATAGGCTGTGGCAAGGATCGAGTGATGATATTTTGAAACTGTGAGGCACTGTCCGGAAAACAGGGGTCCCTCTTACTTTAGTCAGGCTGGCAAGCCCAGGGATACAGATGTTTTTATTGTTTTTTTTTTTTTTTTTTGAGTTGGAGTCTCACTCTGTCGCCCAGACTGGAGTGCAGTGGCCGCTCCCGGCCACCGCAGCCTCGACCTGCTGGGCTCCGGCGATTCCTTCCGCCTCAGCCTTTTGAGTAGCCGGAATTACAGGCACGCGCTACCACACCCGACTGATTTTTTTATTTATTGTAGTTATTTTTCATTGAAGTTTTGAACCTTTCAGAGTCATACAATAGGGTTGTAATCAGCTTCTTCCAAATTCCTGTTAATGGTGATATTTTTGTTTCTTCCCATGAATCATGGTTATTCTTTTCTTTTTCTTTTTCTTTTTCTTTTTCTTTTTCTTTTTTTGAGTCGGAGTCTCACTGTCTCCCAGGCTGGAATGCAGTGGCATGTTCACAGCCACCACAGCCTCGACTTGCTAGATTGAGGCAACCCTTCCACCACAGCCTTCCAAGTATCTGGAACTACAGGTACCACCATGCCTGGCTAGTTTTTTTGATTTATTGTAGAGATGAGGTCTCGCCAGGTTGCACAGCCTAGTTTCGAACCCCTGGGATCAGGCAGTCCTCTCACCTCTGCTTCCCAAAGTGCTGGGATTACTAAGGTGTGAGCCACCATGCCTGGCATGGCATCTAGAATAGTGTATCCTTAACATAAAGGTTTTCCATTTACTTCGCCCAAATCCATTAGGAGTTATTTTTTATCACTGTTTATCAAAATTTCTTTTTTTGTTTGTTTGTTTTTGAGATAGCATCTCACTATATTGCCCAGGTTGGTCTTGAACTTCTAGACTCCAGCAATCCTCCTGCCTCATCCTCCCAAAGTGCTGGGATTATAGGCATGAGCTACCACACCTGGCCATGAAATGTATTTCTTTTCTTTTCTTTTCTTTTTTTTTTTTGAGTTGGAGTCTCACTCTGTCACCAAGGCTGGAGTGCAGTGGCATGCTCATGGCCACTTCAGCATCGACCTGCTGGGCTTCAGTGATCCTTCTGCCTCAGCCTTCCAGGTAGCCAGAACTACATGCATGCACTACAATACCCAGCAAAATTTTTATTTATTGCAGAGATGAGGACTTGCCAAGTTGCCTGGGCTGGTCTTGAACCTGCAAGCTCAGGTAATCCACTTGCCACAGTCTCCCAAAGTGCTAAGATTATAGGCTGAGCCACTGAGCCCAGCTGTTTTTATTTTTTATTTTTGAGTAGGAATCTCACTCTGTCGCCCAGGCTGGAGTGCAGTGGCATGATGACGGCCACCACAGCCTTGACCTGCTGGGTTCAGGCAATCTGTTCGCCTCACCCTTCTGAGTAGCCGGAACTACAGGTGTGTGCCACCACACCTGGCTAGTTTTTTTATTTATTGTAGAGATGAGGTCTTACATGTTGCTCAGGTTGGTCTTGAACCCCTGAGCTCAGGGAATCCTCTCACCTCCGCCTCCCAAAGTGCTGGGATTACAGGCATGAGCCACTGTGCCTGGATAATTTTTGGTTTATAGTAGAGACAAGATCTGGTCAAGTTGCTCAGGCTGATGACAAATCCCTGGGCTCAGGCAATCTTCTTTTTAACGTACACAGAAATAGGTAGATGGATGGCGTGCTTTTAATTTAAAAGCCTATTTATAATTGGAATCCATTTACTTGGTGCATTTTTAATCTAAAATGTCTGCTCAGAAGAAGAATGTAAATACTTTTTTTCTTTTTAATAGCATGCCTGGTTCAAGAGAAGTTCAGATACACCAAGACTCAGACCAGACCTCAGAGCATCATGGGAACTCATTTCATTCTGAAGGTAATGTTTTATTCTAACTAGAAGCATTTTACAATGGAAGTGAATACAAGAGTTTTGTATTAGCCATTTTTAAACACTGTGTAAATGCAAAAGCATTTTTTCTTTGCTAAAGTCAGATGATAGTTAAAAGCCAAAGTTTATATATTGTTAATTTTTGTTCGTTTGTTTGAGATAGCGTCTCACTCCTGAGTAGCTGAGACTACAGGTACACACCACCATGCCTGACTAACTTTGTGATTTTTTTGTAGAGATGAGGTTTTGCTGTGTTGCCCAGGGTCTCACTGCTGCCTTGACCTCCTGGCTCAGGCAGTCCTTCTGCCTTAGCCTCCTGAGTAGACGGGACTACAGGTGTCCACCACCACACCTGGCTAATTTTTTGATTTTTTTTTTTTTCTTTTTTGAGTTGGAGTCTCACTTGGTCGCCCAGACTGGAGTGCAGTGGCCGCTCCCGGCCACTGCAGCCTCGCCTGGTGGGCTCCGGCGATCCTTCCGCCTCAGCCTTCCGAGTAGCCGGAATTACAGGCATGCGCTACCACGCCCGGCTGATTTTTTGATTTATTGTAGAGATGAGGTCTCGCTGCCCAGGCGGGTCTCGAACCCGCGGGCTCAGGCAATCCATTCACCTCAGCCTCCCAAAGGCTCGGGATTACAGGCTAAGCCACCGAGCCTGACTATTTTTTGATTTTTTTATAGAGATGGAGTCTCTTGCCCAGGCTGGTCTCGAATTCCTGGGCTCAAGCAATCCTCCTGCCTCGGCCTCCCAAGGTGCTGAGATTATAGGCATGAGCCACCATGCCCAGCCTGCTGTGAATTTTATGCCAATGCTCAACTAATAAACACTGAGGACTATTTCATCTGGTCAGGATATTCTTTTCAAAACCATAAATTAATTAGAGTCATCTTATTACCTGATAAGCGGGAAAGATCATGAGTCCTACAGTCAGATAGAATTCAGGTCAACCTCAGTTGCTTTGTTTTCTGACTGGATGACTTTGGACATGTCGTGTAACCATTGGAATCACAATTTTCTTATTTATAAAATGGGCCTAACACTCCTTTCCTTGTAGGACTGTTAGACGCATTTAATAAAAGAAGATGAAATGTACAATGCTGTTTCAAAATATGATTGACACTCGATTAATATTAATTTCTTTCCCAATGTGACAAAACAGCCTAGTGCAAAAAAAAAAGGCGGGGGGGTGTATTTAAAGTTTTTGACTTAGCCTGTAATCCTGCCTGAGCCCGCGGGTTCAAGACCCACCTGGGCAACTTGGCAAGACCTCATCTTTACAATAAATCAAATATTAGCCAGGCGTGGTAGTGTGTGCCTGTAGTTCCAGCTACTTGGAAGGCTGAGGCGGAAGGATTGCAGGAGCCCAGCAGGTTGAGGCTACGGTGGCCGTGAGTGTGCCACTGCACTCCAGCCTGAATGACAGAGTGAGACTCCAACTCAAAACAACAACAACAAAAAAACCACTTTTGACTCATCAGGTCACCTGCCATCAAAGTAGGCAGGGAGTTACTTTATCTCTAACCAAAACAAATCTTCTGTGACCCTTCACAGACTGTTCAATGCTCAGCATAAACAGGTCACATCTTAGTCGGCCAAAAAGATGATGCTTTGATTATGCGTCCTTGTACCTTTTCCTAACCCTGGCCTTAATACCCTTCCCATAGAAGTTTTTTTTTTTTTTTTTTTTTTTTTTGAGTCGGGGTCTCTCTCTGTCACCCAGGCTGGAGTTTGGTGGCACAATCACAACTCACCATAGCCTCGACGTCCTGAGCTCAGGCCAGCCTCCCACCTCAGCCTCTCGAGTAGCTGAGATTACAGGCATGTGCTACCATGCCTGGCTAATTTTGTGATTTTTTTTTTTTTTAATAGAGACGTGGTCTCACTTGGTTGCCCAGGCTGGCCCGTAGAGATTTTAATAAGGCACCTTCTTAGAGTTACGGCCAAAGTGAAGACTGGCTTTCTTTTACAGATGAGATCGAATATGAAAACCAAAAGAGACTGGAGGAAGAAGAGGACTTGAATGTGCTGACATTTGAAGATCTTCTTTGCTTTGCCTATCAAGTTGCCAAAGGAATGGAATTTCTGGAATTTAAGTCGGTAAGCTCCTTTTGAAGAAAAAAACAAAGATTTAAAAATTATGAAAAAGATGTGCTCACCTATTTTTTCTTGTTTATTTTGACTCATATCCCTTGAACTCTGTCTTTTCCCTTCCATTTACGGCTGGAGTCACCTAGAATGTCAGTTGGACTCTCGGCTGATGGTAGCATAAAGACCTGGAAGCCCTTATCAGGGAATGGCTGGCATGGTCCTCCCGGGCTGTCCAAGTCTCCTGCAACGTCCAGGGTAGAACAGCAAGACAGGAAGTCCTTAGAAAACTCCTTCAAAAAGAAGTGTGGCATCATCACTGCCCTCTTGGACAGCCATCCAGGTTGTGTCTGCATGTAGGCTTTTGACCCAGGGACAGAGTGGGTTGACCCAGCATGCTCTGTTTGCTGGGCAGCCACCCCAAGTGCTTTTGTCTAATTCAGTCAGTAGCAGTCATGCAGGGATGCTGTCTCCTGGGTGGATAACCCCAGATTACAAACTGGGGTGGTAAGGCCCTGGAGCCTCTGCGAACCATGACCTCTACCCCAATTTTGCCTCCTTTTTTTTTTTTTTGAGTTGGAGTCTCACTCGGTCGCCCAGACTGGAGTGCAGTGGCCACTCCCGGCCACCGCAGCCTCGCCTGCTGGGCTCCGGCGATCCTTCTGCCTCAGCCTTTCAAGTAGCCGGAATTACAGGCATGTGCTACCACGCCCGGCTGATTTTTTGATTTATTGTAGAGATGAGGTCTCACTGCCCAGGCGGGTCTCGAACCCACGGGCTCAGGCAATCCACTCACCTCAGCCTCCCAAAGGCGCGGGATTACAGGCTGAGCCACTGAGCCCGGTCCAATTTTGCCTTCTTATATTGCCTTTCAGTTATGCTGTTCTCTGTGTTTCAAGAGCCTCAGACCTATTAGCAGAGTAAGGCGGTTCCTCCTGTCTCCTGGTTTTCTCACCTCCCATTACTTTCTCTTTAATTCCCTAGCTTCCATCTCTTTTTCTTTGAGTCTCTTATTCTCCTCTTCCTCTGACCTCCGTTTCCTTTTTTTTTGCGTCCTCTTTCTTCTTTTTTCTCTGAGCTTGGAGAGATTCATTTCTACTGTATTTTATTTTTTCTTTAGAAAATTACTGTCTTAGCCAGGTGTGGTGGCACACACCTGGAGTCCCAGCTACTCAGGAGGCTGAGGCAGGAGGAGGATTGTTTGAGCTCAGGAGTTCGAGGTTGCCGTGAGCCACTGCGCTGCAGTCTGGGGGACAGAGCAAGACCTCATCTCTAAATAATAATAATAATAACAACAGCAACAACAACAATATGGAAACCAAACTCCTGGGCTTCAGCAATCCTCCTGTCTTGGCCTCCCAAAGTGCTGAGATTACAGGCATGAGCCACCACACCCAGACTCTTGTGAATTTTATGCCAATTAATATTATTATTATTACTGTCTCAATCACATTTCCCCACCACTCGACTGCGAGGCACATTCTTCTCTTTGTCTTCCCCCCACCACCGTGCTGTCTGGATTTCCATTTTCTCACTCTTGCCCGCCTCATTCCCCTCTGGAGTTCACTCGCACATCTGTAGTCATGTTGTCATGGGTATCTTGGTGGATGTTGGAGAGCATCTACTTGCATCATCTGGCTCGGTTTGCTGACCATAGGTTGATTTGTTTGTTTGAGTCAGTGTCTCACTCTGTTGCCCAAGCTGGAGTGCAGTGGCATGACCACAGCTCACCACAGCCTCGACCTCCTGGGCTCAGATGATCCTTCCACCTCAGCCTCCTGAGTGGCTGGGACTACAGGCATGTGCCACCATGCCTGGTTAATTTTTAATTTTTTTTTTTAATAGAGACAAGGCCTCGACATGTTGCCTAGGCTGGTCCCGAACTCCCCGGACCAGCCTAGGCATGGACCAGCCTAGGATGACTCAAGCCATCCTCCTGCCTTAGCCTCCTAAAGTGCTGGCATTACAGGCGTGAACCACTGCGCCCAGCCTTGCTGCCCATAGTTAAGGACACACTCACATGAGTCACAATTGACAGCCAAAGGGAACCACTGTCCCCTCCCTCAGCTTGTAAGCAGTTGAATTTACAAAGAATACCCAGTTTCTAGGCTGTCTCCCCTTCTGCCATCACTGGATGCCTTCCCCTCTGAATCAGGTGTGTCACTGTCCCCGACTTGTCCCTCGCACCTCCCCCAACACTCCTCTGGGTGCCCCTTCATTTTCTCATGTAGGCTCTTGACTTCATGAGACATTAGCTGAGTGAGCCCGTAGCCCGCACCAGGTCCCACACTAGGTGCTGGAGATTCGGTCTTTTGTGAGATGTCTCCTGGACTCGAGAGTATTACAGTTGCTAGGAAGGAAAGAGACAAGCCAATGTGCAGATCACATGACACTGTAGTGGGATAAACACTGTGATTGAAGGAAGTTCTGGAAGCCCAGGGAAGGGGCATGCACATTAGGCTTGGTTTCGGGGAATGGGGAGAGGGAGCAGGAGAGACTTTCTGAAAGAGTTCATGCCTGAGCTGGAGGAATTTATTATTATTTTTGAGTCAGGATCTCACTCTGTTGCCCAGGCTGGAGTGCGGTAGCACGATCGTGCAACCTCGATCTCCCAGGCTCAGGCAATCCTCCCACCTCAGCCTCCCGAGTGACTGAGATTACAGGTGTACGCCACCATGCCTGGCTAATTATTAAATTTTTATAGAGACAAGGTCTTGCAATGTTGCCTAGGCTAGTCTCGAACTCCTGGGCTTAAGCAATCCTCCCTCCTTGGCCTCTCAAAGGGCTGGAATTACAGTTGTGAGCCATCACGTCTAGCCAGAAGTTTTTTAAAATTTAATTTTAATTTTTTTAAAGACAGTCTCTGTCACCCAGGCTGGAATGCAGTGGAGCAATCATAGCTCACTGTAGCCTGAACTCCTGGGCTCAAGCAATTCTCTCACTTCCACCTCCCAGGTAGCTGTCACTACAGAACTATGCCACTATGCCTGGCTAATTTTTTTTTTTTTTTGTAGAGATGGGATTTCCCTGTGTTGTCCAGCCAGTGTTGAACCCCTGGCCTGGAAGTGATCCTCTCACCTTGGCCTCCCTAAGCACATGAGCCACTATGCTCAGCCTGGGCGAGATTTTTGAAGGAAAAGGAAAATCAGCAGGGAACAAGGGATAGGATAGAGAACATGGCATCAGAGGGACAGTTTTTGAATAAGAGTAATGAGTTGGGCGGCTGAAATGTGAGGTCCCTTGGGCAGCCAAGTACAGCTTCGTCTAGTAGATAGTCGGACACTTCTAGCTGAGGCTCAAGAGAAATGCTTGGGCTGGAAACAGAGATTTGAGCGATGGCACTTGCATTCCCAGGCTCTGATGACGTGACTTGGAAGAGGGTGTGAAACCAGAGGATGCAGCCCAGGGAATGAGAAGAGTCTCATTCATACCTGGAGCCCTGCAGGGGACAGGAGCCACCAACACAGCAGGAAGAAGATGGAGAGTCGTACACAAAATTCCCAGAAGGGGCTGGGCACCAGTGGCTCACGCCTGTCATCCCAGTAGTTTGGGAGGCAGAGGCGAGAGGATTGCTTGAGTCCAGGAGTTTGAGACCAGCCTGAGTGAGGTGGAAGGATCGCCGGAGCCCAACAGCTCAAGGCTGCGGTGACCATGAGCTTGCCACTGCACTCCAGCCTGGGCGACAGAGTGAAACTCCAACTCAAAAACAAACAAACAAACAAACAAACAAAATTCTTTGGCCTCTGGGAATGTTCCAGAAGCATCACAAATGACTGCAGCCACAGAGGCTAAGGGATTGGGCTGCCCATGTTCGCTTGGGTGGTTATATGTCATGATGGGGCTCACAGCCCCATAAGAATAAGAGGCCTTCCACACTGGCACCTCCCATTGAACCTGGAAGAAAGATCGCATGCGAGGATAATACCCATCACAGCAAATAACACTCCAATGTCATTCCTTGCAGTGTGTTCACAGAGACCTGGCGGCTAGAAACGTGCTCGTCACCCACGGGAAGGTGGTGAAGATATGTGACTTCGGACTGGCTCGAGATATCATGAGTGATTCTAACTACGTTGTCAGGGGCAATGTGAGGCTGGTTTTTCTTCCTGGTGTTTAAGTTTGTGTATGGTCATTTTCCTGGTAAATGTCTGCACTCACCGTGGTGCATTTGTGATTGATGGTAACAGCCAAAAGACCCCACGGCAGTTTGCTTACTTATGCTTAAAAGGTTTTTTCTGAAGCTTCAGGGACTATTCTGTCTGTAATAAAAGTTGAGCAAGGCAGCGTCACATCTGTCCTTGGGCTAGCGAGTCAGAATAGATCAATCAGGGGCCTTTGAGTGCAATCCTCACTTTAAAAGAAATCCAATTATTTTTACTTATTTCAGTTCCCTTAACTATAAAGTGACTATTGAGTTATATTTTCAATTATGTGAAAAGCTAATAGTTAACAGTAAAATTTGGTTTTTTTTGAGTCAGAGTCTCACTCTATCGCCCAGGCTGAAGTGCAGTGGCACGCTCACAGCCACCGCAGCCTCGACCTGCTAGGCTCAGGCGATCCTTCCACCTCAGCCTTCCAAGTAGCTGGGACTACAGGCTTGCACCAC